CAGTTGCTCCAGATTGAGTCTTTGAGACAATATTAGACAACAAAAAAGAGAAATATTTTAATTTTTCTAGTCAAAATTTCATTTAAAAAGTCATAAGGTCTCTACTTCTTAAAAAGGATGTGAGATATCATATAATGGAATATTGATATACCATGGACCATTAAAATAAAACAATAAAGGAAAAAGAATTATAAACTAGAAGTGTTCCCTAAAACTTATGCTAAGGAAAATTGTTATAATTGAACAAAAAATTTCTGTCTGAGCTTCCTGGTATACAACACAAAAGGGAGGCACCATGAATTGCATAATTTTTATTAACTGATAAAAGAATGTACAAGAGGTACGATTTGCCTAACTTTCAGGAATTAATCGAATTCATTTATTTAAAAGCATTAAAATCTTAATGGTTGATAAACTTAGCAGTAATTTACAAAACTTGTTCAAATTATTTTCACAGTGGTCTTTGAAACAGAGGTCATAATATCATTTTAATATCCACAGACATTTTCATGCTTTTCCTAATATGATCTCCGTACATGGTTTCTCTGCTTGAAATAGTAGTAAGTATTTTGTTCTTTTTAAGGGTGAACCAGGCATTATGGGCCCTTTTGGAATGCCTGGAGCATCAATTCCTGGACCACCTGGGCCAAAGGTATATACTCTTGGGAATATCTTTTTCTTGGATCTTTGGCAGTTGGAGAAAAAAAAATTTCATGATATCAGTGAATTAGAATTTTAATTTTGGAAGAGCCTTAAGAAATGATTTAGTTCAGCCCTGGTATTTCACAGACAAGCAAATGAAAAGCCAGCAGTAGAGTTAGGACTAGAAATTGAGTTTTGTGCTCCTGGTCCAAGCTCATTTTAGCCTTCATTACCTCTTCCAAATCCTAGACCCTGATGCAGGTAAGAATTTATTACATTTATCCCTAAGAATCTACTAGGATTTATCATTGAAAAGTCTGTCATAAAAGGAATCCATGCAGTTTTAAGAACATTCCCAGATATTCTTACAGTCCAAATATTTGAGTCTAAATTGCCACCTATCATTTCAGTGGACTTTCTCCTAATAGCTGTAGTAGTCTTTACTGACAGGTTTTATTAGAATTTGCCCCCTCGAATATGTTAGAAGAATATATAATCTCAAGTCTGAGATGGATACATTAAGCTCTTTACAGATTGGCCAATCTCTTTTTTGCTATGTACCCTTGTGATTTCTTACGCAACCTATAGCCTGTGAATGTTGTTTGAAATGTACAGGGAGATAGAGGAGGACCTGGGATACCTGGATTTAAAGGAGAACCTGGACTTTCTATTCGAGGACCAAAGGTATGTTTTATTCACATTCTTTTTCTGTACGTGAGAGAAATGAAGGTAGATTTAATACATAATAAATTGTACTACTTGGGAAGTCCCTATGTTATGAACTAAAATGTAAGAATATAGCTATTCCCCCCTTTTTTTTGATCAAGCAGTTTATTTTTTATGCATGTGGGGAACAGTAGCTTCTACGGTTAAATTTTTGCTGACTAGACAATTGTTTGAAAATGTACTTTTTGCAGTGACTGGGATACAAGGGATTACATGGCTTCTGGTCTCTTTCATTTACATATTAACTTCTGAAGTACCTGTTCTGCAAAACATTGTGCAAAAAAGCGTGTATTTGGAAGTTTTAGTGAATAAAAATTTCCCCTGCTTTGATTAGCCATCCTTTGGAGTTATTTCAGATGAAAATTTAAATAATTATAGAAGAAATCAGCTTTAAGTAATCATATCTAGTGTTCCACAGGAATGAAGCACCATTTCCCTCTCTCTTTTTACTGTCCTCAGCATCACAGCAAAATTTAGTGTTTATAACATTCCTAGGTGTCAACACTCACATCTCTGTTTATGAAAACAGTCTTTAGGGCCCCATAATCAGCACTTTTTAAATTAATGGCATGTTGTTCTGTGGCTTAGAAGCTGATGTATGTGCCCTCCTATCAAATCGTCTCATCTAGGGTTCAAGTACTAAACCAATGACTTCCAAAGTTAAAAAAAAAGAACATGTGGTGTCATCTTTTAAAGGAAATATAACGCAAAACTTACTGTATAAAACTGATATAAATTGGAGTGGTTCTTATTTGAAAGCAAAGGGGAGGATCTGGAGCCCCCACTGTTCTTACTGCTTTAACAGTCCTCCTCCCCGCTACAGTGACAACTGCCCTAGTTTGCCCAGGACGGAGGGGGTTCCTAGGATGCATGGCTTTCAGGGCTGAAATTGGGAAAATCTTGGGCAAATTGGGGTGGGCTGTTCACCTGCTCCCCAGACCCTGAGGTAAATGGAACCTAAGCTATGTAGACCCCTCCCTATAATACCCCAAGCTATACAGACAACTCAATGAGAAAATTCCAAATTTTCTCATGTGATAACTACAGATATGACCTTGATCAATTACATTTGTGTGACAATTTTAATATTGTTTGACAGTGTGTATATACAACCCATGATTTATGGCTATCTATCTATCTACTTCTCTTTGAAATAGGAATAAAATCCGATTAAATGTGCTGCCGGAGTTTATAAGCCCCACCTGTTTTCTGCTGATGGTTATTGGGCATTGTAGGTGAGGGTATTTAAAGATATTTGCCTCCCGCCGCCGCTGGGCTCTAATGATACTCTTTCTGCCACTCTTCCCTAATTCCTTAGGTTTTAAGTTCTGGGAGGGTCATATATGCCTTTGAATATCCGATGAAAGTTTGGGCACATTAATTCAATTTTGTGCACTACTTCAAGGATCTCTCAGATCTCCCAAGCTGATTTCAATATATCAGATTTTAATTTTTGCCCTAATTTCTAATGCATGTGAGAGACACTTCAAAGTGAGTCACTTTGTAAAACATTTTCTTGAATCCAGTGCAGAAAAGTCCAGTGGCAGAAATCCATCTATAAAAATATTGTGAGGAGTCCAAAATAAAAATCTGCCCCTACAGGCCCCTTGATATTCCTGTTAACATGAGAAGGAACAAGCTACCTGAAATGCTTGCAGGAATGAGGACAAAGATCTCTAGGAAAAAAATGTTTGTAAACTGTCAGCATTTTAATGGTTTTTTCCTCCCTCCACTCTGGTTGCCAGAGGTTAAGCAATAGCAGCTGCTGATAATTTGTTATGGGCTTGGAACTTAGAAATAAAAACTGAAAAGTGAATTGTGATTCCAATTTTCTTTTCCTTTCAACTTAACTAGGTAGCAGTTACTGCTTTATTCTGTTGTTGACCCTCTCCTTGTGTAAACATGGAGAGAAATGGAAATCTGATTTTGGGACAAGTCTCATATGTGAATGTTTAGAGCTTTAACCTTAAATATAGTCGAAATAGCATAAAAAAATTGCTTCTGAGAAGTGACCAGTTCCCTGTAGTTGGGGATATACTAAAATTCACTTCTCTGGAAGAACTTACTCTTGGTCTCTCACATATAACTTTTTTTCTTTTTCCTTCTCTAGTCATAAAGGAATCTCTCATATAACTTTAAGAAATCATCTTGGATTTTTGTTGATGATAAATAATTCATTAAGGTTTTATAAGTGACCACATATTTTCTAAAGATGATCATTCTTAAGAAGACTAACCAGACAAAACCAGTCTCAGATTTAACAGGAAAAAACAGCTATGGCAGTCATGGTTTTCAAAGTAAATTTATTTTTTTTATTGCTTAAAGGAAAGGCGGTTTTTCCCCTTTTCTCCAATCAATCATTCATTCGTAGGAGTAGAATTAAGAGTTTTGGGGATTTGGATTTGGCGCAATATTTTAGCTTAGAATAATGGCAATTTGATCTTAGAATTTGCTTGCATGTAAGGAAAGTACTTCAGAGTCCTGCTACTTTCTTCATTCTTGGATACAAAGGTCTGCCTGTTATTAGAGTTTTCTCCTAATGTAAAAAAAACGTAAATATTTTTAAACACGTACAGCTCTTTATCAAAACAAGGGATGCATATTGACAAGGGCTGTTGTAAAAGTTACCACAGTAACAATGGAATGTGGTGTCGAAAGAAATACTACAAGTTTTATATATAAGTGTAATGAACTTATAGTTATTAAGCCTTCTTCTAAAAGAGTCTTCTTAATTTGTTTTCTTCCTCTCTCTCCATTTTCCTTTAGTCATATATTTCTCTGATTTCCATTTGTAAGAGAGTTACACATCTCGGAAAACTTGGTTGTCTAAAGAACACTAATCTCCCCTCCTTGCTCTCTGCATTGGAGGCTAATGGTTGCTACTAAAAGTTTTTATGCCTAAGGTTGTTACTGTAAAGCAATGTTTATAACTTTTTCCTAGGTCCCAAGACAAGAAACACAAACTCTCAATGTCCCATCCCTTATAACATGTTTTAAAAAAATTAATGTTTTTATTTTCATTTGGGTTTATTCCTCATGTAATTTGGGCCCCATTGACAATAGGCTTAACACAACAATAGGAAGAATATAGCTATCTTAGTCCACATTCAAAATTTTGGTATGTATTCTTTTTCTATTCTTCTCACACTGTGCTTACTAAATTTTCTCATTTTTATACTTTTTCCTGATTTATGATGCATTAAAAACTTATAATTTTTAAAATTAAAATTTTAGCGATAAGCCATTTTTGAATTCCTGTGAAGTGTATTTTTCCTGCAGAGGACTTTGTAATGGTTTATGTATATTCTTCGCATTCATTCCACGCCTCCCACTGAACTCAAGTGGATAAGACTTACGAAGAGATAATGAGTTGCATGTGTGGTAGGAATTGCTCCTAAAATTTTTCAAATTATTCCTCTGCACTTATGAAATCCACCTTTGGCATATTGAGTTGGTGTTATGTTTAAGTTTAACCTGGTGTTTTATAGTTTAGTCTCATGATACCACCTGGTGTTGGCATTTATCCAGGGTGTCCAAGGCCCTCGGGGACCAGTGGGTGCTCCAGGACTCAAAGGCGACGGCTATCCTGGTGTGGCTGTAAGTGTGGACATTACTTCTCCTTCTTTCTTCCCTCCCCCCTTCCCTCCCTCCCTTCTTCCTGAACACTGCTTACTACAGGGATGCTCATCCCTCCCTTATTGTGTTGTCTCAGGGGCCTCGAGGATTACCAGGACCCCCAGGACCAATGGGTTTACGTGGAGTGGGAGACACTGGAGCAAAGGTAAGATTTTAAAGTAGGCAACATACTAGCCTCTAAAAATGAACCTATAAAGTGACTTTGGTAAAGGTGGAATTTTTTATCAAACAGAAGTGTAGAGGTATCTGAAACAACTGATGAGATTATTTGCCCTCATTGATGGACTGCCTGGGGAACTAATCTGAACGTGTAGATTAACTTTGTAACTTTTCTCCTTCTTTGGCAGCAGCTCTCGCATTCCTTTGCCACTTCCTCTCCCTGTAGCAAGATCAGAGCTCAGTTTGGAGCCCTCATCTCTCCTCTAGCCACGCTCTTTCCCTGGGTACTCTCACCCAGTCCCATGGCTTGAACCACTATCCATATGCTGATGACTTCCAAAGTTCTATCTTTCCTCCCCCTCGCTCTGGTCTCACATATCTAGTTTCTTACCGTATATCCCCTCTTGGGCTTCTCACAAACATCTCTAACCTCATGTCCAAAATCAAACCCTTGATTTTCCATGGGCCTGTGAATGGCACATGCCATCGGGCATGCTCATGCTGCAAGACCTCAGAAACATCCTTGTCCCCTTCCTTTCACTCTCCTTCCTCCACGTCTAGTCCTTTGGTAGGTCCCACCAGTGCTACCTCCAGAATATATCTCGACTCTGGCTCCTTTTCTCCTTCTGCTTCTGTCAGACAGTTCACTATCATCTCTTGCCTGGGCTATAAAAATAGCCTCTTTGTTGGTCTTCCCTCTTCCACCTCTGCCTTCCTATAACTTAGCAGGCAGAGTGGTCTTTAAAAACCATAAATCAGCTCATATCCCATTCCTTCTGAGAAACACTCGGGTCACTTCTCTTTGTACTTGAAACAAACTCTGACCACTTTCCAGGGCCTCCAAGCCCCTTTGCACCCCGACTGCAGCTTCTGTCTTTTCTCCCTGGCTGCCCACGTCCAGCCACACTGGCCTGCCCTGCTTCAGCTCATTCCTGCTTCAGGGTTTTGGTTCTTAAATCCTCACCTCAAATCTCACATCCCTGACTTACCTGTACAAAAAAAAAAAAAAAAAAAATCTTATCCCCTCCTCCCCTGTGTATTTCCTATTTGGTGTGGATCCCTTTCTGTGATCATCTTGCTCTTCATTGCTCTGCATATTCCATGAGAGTGGAAGGTTTCCTGGAGACAGTCTCTTTGTTTTGTTCCCTCCTAACTTCGTGTCACAGATAGGAGCTCTATAACCTGTTGAATGAATAGAAAATGATCAATATTACCTGAAAAAGAGAATTTTTCCCTAGAAATATATCTACTCAATTTTTCTAACGTTTCCAAGTCATTAGAAAAGATGTCGTACGTGCTCAATGCCAACTTCTCATCCTGTTTTTGTCCCTGCCGCAGCACTTAGGAGTGACAACACCTTGATACTGCGCCTGTACAATGGGCAGGTGCTCTTTTGTAGTCTCCCAGGTAGGATAAAAGATTGTAGACCCACGGTGCTAAATGTCATCTCTAAGGGAGATCTTTATACCTGCCTTGTCTCTGTTTCTTGGGGTAATTACGAGAGTCCAGTGAGAGGATGCATCCGAAACTGGTGCACACTGTGCAGAGGAGACGAACCCAAGGGGCTTTGATCAGGGTCTGTCTGGGTCTGACTCAGGACTGAATCAGATCCTTGAATCGGCCTCAACAGCATTGATAAACCATACTGAATTTGGGCATTGAGGTATTCTTTTATTCTTTGCATAGGATCTGTCAAAATATTAAAATTTTAAAAATAGAAATTTAATAGGTAAACCTCATTATTTTCTGCTCTGAGTGAAACATTGGTAAAAATTTTTGTTATACTAAATATTTCCCTAGGGAAATGGAAGCTTATTCCTATTTAAACTAAGATGTGAAATAAAATATGTTAAATATATACTGGAATGTGTTTGTATTCCAGTGGAAACAGATGATTTACATTTCCACAGAGTAGATTATTATGAATTTTTTATGTAGGTATACATTGTATTATATTAAGTTATACCATAATGTTACTGCTTTGCATTTGGCAATAATAATAAAGACAGACACTTAGGCACAGATAAAGAACATTTAAAAGAATTTGATTCTTGTGAATATTCCACTCTGTCAGATTATTTATGATACAGACTAAAACATTTACTAAATGATTTCATATGCCATTTCCCACCCAAAGTCTCCTGCTTTTATATTTAGGGGAGAAAAGCAAGAAAAAAGATATTGCTTGAAAAATTTCATTCTGCCTATTTTTTTTTTAAATGGCCAGCCTGTTGCCAGAAGATGTGTCTGAAGTGAAACTCATGTGGTCTTTCTTAGCCCACACGGGAGGCTGGGTGGAAGCAGCCGCCTGCAGCCGGCTTGTAGCTGCGCTGGTAGCTCAGGCAGCAGAGCCTTAGCCAGACGTGCCTCTGTGGGCCCCTTCCTCTCAGCCGCCTTTTCCTTCCCCCTGTTGCTCTTGTCTCTCCCTGTGGAAAGCGTGTTATCCAGGATTTCTCTAGCCCCATAAGGAGATGTTAGGGGAGTGAGCTGGCCTTAGAATCAAAGGAACTTGGATCATAAACTTAAATATAAAGGAAATTGTAAAAGCAAATAACAGCTTTTAAATAACCTTTAAAATCATCTCTCCTTTTTTATAAATGCCTCAAACTCACTATGCGCTTTTTTTTTTCCCTGAAGAAAACTTTTGGAAAGACACACACACACACACACCCACACGCGGACAGACACTGGTTACGAAAAAGGAGACATTTTGAAAAGTCTAATTCTGGTTAATGTTGTCCTTCCGGTTTGGTAAAGTGGAGGTGAGGCTCTCAGAATGCCAACAACTGCCAATGGCAGCAAAAGCACAGGACCCAAATGTGTGCAAAATTCTTCTTCCATTTTGAGTTATAATGATAGAGAAACTATATGTGGGAGAGTGAGTGTGTGTGTGTGTTGGTATAGACATATATATCCTGATATGTTTTTCATTTAAACTCTGTGTAGTCACTTTAAAATTTTGGCCTAGAGGCATTAACTTGCCAAACAAATGTGTTTTGAAATGAGGAAACCATTAAGGTTGACGATTAATTTATGGTAGGTTTTTGTGATATTTAGTTAGGGTCACATGTGTTTAGCATATGACAGACATTAAACTCAAAGCTTCTGTGTTTTAGAATCTATAAAAAGCAATCCCTGACATCCAGCACCCATGTGCTCTGTGGCTTTTTCCCAAGTGGAAACATTCCATTCAGCATTCGTGGTTATAGTCCTTCTAGATATGAATATCTTGAATTTAATTCAAATTTTGATAAGACCTGACGTATTTCCAAAATTCTTGTAAAAACTAACTTTCAAGGAGATAGTAGATATAGTTTTAAAATTCACTTTTGGAACATGCTGGGAAGAGGGACTGATAATCTGGTCTCTTGCTAAGTGGGAAATGCTCACCCAGTATCTGGACTCCTGGACCCCAAATTCCTGGCTGAGGAAGACAGGCTCAAAGACCCTACCCATCACTGCCTGCATTTCTTCAGTGAAGCCCTAGGCACTAGGGGGACCTCTTATGATTTGAAGGCAGTCATGTCATTAATCTCATTTTTCTTTGAGAAGCTGCAAATGACTCTTTGCTCCTGTGTTTTCACCCCCAAAAGCTCCTGAGGAGCATGTGGCCTAAGGGCTGATTTCCTGATATCCCTGAGTATAAGAGTTTGTGTCTGGCCTCATAGAAGAGGAATGCAAGGTGTGGCTCTCCTGACCTCCCTAAGGGCAGGTACAACCTGCCATGCACCTCCCTTAGCTCTTTCAGTCCCTCTGAGTGTGCCAGGAAAGGCCATGACCCTCCCCAAAGCCTTGGGGTGATTGGACTTAGGCCAATCCTTGCACAGAGGAGATCTAACCTGAATTCGGAGGCCCTCAAAGGACCTTTTAACCATCAAGTGATTGGAATGAGTCTGTGGGCAGAAAAGACTTGTTAGATTTTATTGTTATTAGGTCTAGTTACCATTATTATTGTAACTATTTTATGTTACCTAAATATTTCCAGAATATCGTGTCATTTTAAACAATTCCCTTATTTTATAGTTGAGAAATCAAGGACCAGAAAAGTTGAACAACTTACATCTTTACAATATAAACATTTTTGATACTATATTTGTTTTGTGTATGAAAGAGAGACTATGAATATGGATGAACGAATGAAAAACTGAATGGATGAATAAATCAGAGCAGGAAGAATGACTTACCCTGATCCACACATGCTCAATCTCTAATACTGTCCGTCTTCTAACTATCTCAGCACTGTTTTATGTACAGTTGGATTGTTTCTCTTTCCATTCTAGCTTTTCCATTGTCAAAACTTAAATTATGTAAACATTAAAGAGAAGTATAAACCCAAACCCAAAAGAGTTAAACATTTTTCAAAAACTTTAAATGTTTGAGTATTGTAAATACATGCTTTATTTGACAAAAGTGGCCTATAGTCATAAATTAAAATGCAAGTCTGTGTGAAATTCCACTGAGTATCATTATTCTAAAAATGTTCCCAGCATCTGAATTGCCTCTCTGTTCTCTGCAATGGTTCACATATGTGCACACCACCAACAGGCCGTGGTGGAACAGAGACCCGATTCACACAGAGATGCGTTAGGAATTTGTGGATTCCATCATCGGCAGACATAGACTGGACAAAAAACTCTATTTTGAACAGTGCCTGATAAGGAGGACTGGCCCAGGATATAGACTTAATGAAATTAAGGGCCAAAATTCCAAAGTGGATTTGAAGAAACTCACCTCCCCATAATATGCCTGCAAAATTGCTACAGGCCAGACAATTGGCTCAAAATGGGGCTAATTAAAGCCAGAGCCATATAAAGTTTAGATGCCAAGCAGTTAGACCCATAGGTTTCAGAAAAGGTCACATTCAAGACCAGGAAAACTTGACTAATTGACTTTTCATGGTTACTCCCCAATTTGGTTCTATACATGATCTCTAAAACCTGAGCTGCACTGCAGTCTATCTTTCAACGTTGCACTCGTCTCTCCTTG